GATGGAGACCAACCCTGCACAACCATAAACGTGGTCTCTTGAGGGGGGGCAGCAGCTCTGGGACAGGAGCTCTTGCCTGAAAGATTCACAGCAATGACTGCAGAATGACTAACTGCCCTATCAGTGATATCAGAAAGATGCTGGAAATGCTTATTTTTGATTCTGGCAGATTACCTTCTCATTTTCATGGCCCTGAACAAGTATTGTAATCAACCACATGTTTAGTTCAAATTACAATGCTGAAGTTATCAGACTTCTTTTTCTTTGGCTGTACAAGACCAAAACCTTTCCATTATTTAATACATGGATGTTCAAGGAATTTTTGAACCTTATGCAAACTGTACTGAGCTACCTGCAAAATCCAGCACAAGTTTTGGATCTCGAATGCTGCTTCAGGTTACGTTTCTCAGTCCTCCTGAAACACAGCACTGCTAAGTAGTGTATTTTCCTACCCAGATTCTCAAATTAATTGACTTTGACATGATTTGTATGCTGCTGTTAGTCATGCTGTTTACGGAGTGCCAGCCATAACAGATTATAGCATTACAATCATCTTTCAAAAATCTAGCTAATAAAGACTCAGAAGAGGTGGTACAGAAGCAAGAGATGCTCGTGTAGGTTACCTGAATGGGTAACAACGTTGTATTTGTGGTCCCAGTCCAGCTGCCAGCAGCCAAACACCCCAGCTGCAGAAAGCAAAGTCAGCCAGTGGAGTGACCCAGCTGGCAACCCCAAGGATTTAATTTCTTTCTCTCTCAGTGAGAGGTTTCTCTGCCAGGACTTCTCCAGGATATTACAACTCAGCCCAGACAGACCATGAACTGCAGGTCACTCCCAAGCCTGTGCATGGAGCAAATCTCACTGTTCTCAAAGGAATACATACTGAAAATGTCCTTTATTTATAACAAAGAAAATTAAAAAGAATATGAGCTCCAACATTAGCTGTATTCACAAACAGATTAATCACACTTGAATAGACTGGGAGGACAGAGCTCAACAGAGAGGCACATCTTGGGGAAAGAGATCAATTTAACTTCAGCTGCCTTGAAGACCACTGGGATGGGACCACAGTGCTGAGAAGCATCCCATGGCAAGGGGCTGTCATGAGATGGCCTTTTCAGTCCCTTCCAACCCAAACTATTCTGTGATTCTGACCTTCAGTGTAAACGTACACAAACTGTAAATATCCATCATGTGAAAATGTCTTTTTCACTACATTTCTCAGCAAACTGAGTCTTGTCTGAAGTGCCTGGGTTTGGTATGCTGAAGGCAGGAGCTCTCAGAAGATGTGGTTCTCTCAAAACCACAGAGCAAATCATGCCCTGTGATTTTGGTTTCCTTGCATTACTGGCTTAAAGCTTTGAAACCATTTAATACACACATACATACGTATATGCACACAAACACATGCATGCACACACTAAGCAAATGCAGACCCTGCATTCAGATACAAAATCCTGCACATGCAGTGTCACATCACAGCACAGACATCTCACCTGAGAGAAATTTTACAGCAGAAATCAAAGCAGTGTTACTGACAAACATTTCTTGTGGTGGCTGACATCATTCTGTCCCGCTTCAGGCTTTCTGTTCCAGCAAGCAGAACCACTCACTGACGTAGCAGGCAGTGGCACGCACAGCCCAAGACAGAGGTTTTAAAGGTGACCAAGGAAGGTAAGCAAAGAAAAAAGAGCCTCCTGTGATGCTTGGACATCACACTTCCCAGCTCTGCCTCACAAAAACAAACTTCTTTTGATATCTGACTGGGTTATGAACTCCCTTAAACAGAATCAGAGAGGAGGCTGACGTCCTTACATCTCATAGGCCTTATCCTGGCCCCTCGATGGGAGGGTGGACTCTCACTTCCCAGAGGTGAGAGAAGATGGAGGAGAAGAATGAGGCACAACACAGATGCTCCAGCTGACTCTTGCAAGAGTTCTCCCTTTATATCTAGCGACCTTTAAGCATGGCAGTGGGAGAGAAGAAACACTACATAATCACTGCATTCACACACTGTGTGGCACAAACTGTGGCTGTTCTTTCAGATCCAAAAGGCCTATGTATTTTTCTGGTACACCTTCACACGTGAGTGCTGCTGAGCTTTTGTGGGCAGGGCCACCCTGTGCAGAGCCAGCCCTGCACAGCCCTGAGCTCTGCCTGCAGCCTCCCATCCATGTGTTCCTTTTCAGTCCCTGCTATGGTCGAGGCAGTTCTGTCTAAAAAGGATAAATAAAGGCCTGCCCAAAGCTTCCAGGGCTTGGCTTGCTTAGTGCCATTATGCTTGACGTTGTGCCAGGCAAGGAGAACTCGATCTCTGCTCCAAGTGGATAAACACTGTGCTGCAGACACAGGATTCTTGGACATCTCGGCTTGTATTTATGTAAAGCAATGCAGGTGGGTTTATTTTTTAAATAAAGAAGTACAAAATTACTTCATAATACTTGGAAGTCAGCACAGAACAGCGTGCTGGAATTAGCTTCTGATGTGCTGGGCTGAGAGTCCCAGCAGTGAGCAGCATCAGAAATGAAGGGCAAGAGCCAGGCAGCAGGGGGTTCCCCAGCACCAAGCAGTTCAATGGACAGCAAAACCCACATGCAGTATCAGAAATGGAAAAAAATCCCATGTATGCAAGGGGACACGTTAGACTTAAGTAGGAACTTTTCCTTAACAGCTAATTAATATCTGCGTGTGCTCCATCCCTACCACAGCTTCAGCAAAAGCACTGCCTAACGACCCTTGCATCAAGCACAGAAATTGGGGAACATGCTGAAATTTTAACCTACAATCTCACTCGATGATGCTACAGACGTCATTCTAGGAACTGGAAGAGACTGAAAGACAAAACGCAGAGGAAACCAGTGTGGCTTTTCAGAAGCACTTGGTCTCACTTCTGCTTCCACTGAAGCCAACAGTAAGGCTGCTACTGAATTAGGAAAGGCAGAGCACTTCTGAAAGCCGCATAAGTGGATGAGAAGTGCTTTACGAAGTTATTAGTCCACAACTCCTCTGGAAGTTACAAGCAGTGCAAACAAAGAAAGTGAAATAAAAACAAAGAAAGAGGTAGAAATGTTTGAAAGCCCTTCTAAACCATCACATGCTGACAGCCTACCATAGATAAGCAGCTAATAACTTCTAGCAGCCCTTTTCATCTGTGCACAATATACTGAAGGCCATTTCATCTTGGCCTGGGTTTTAGTGAAAGGTAATGTTTATTTACACATGCTAGGTATATCATAATATACAAGAGGGGAAAAAAAAAAACAAACACCTGCCTTGAAGCCACCAGTTATCCTACTGAAGTGTAGGAACCCACATAGATGATAGGTTCAGACTTCAGCCACAAAATAAGCCCGGGACCAGGAGAACTGGAATCATTACCTGGTCTCACGGGGTGCATCTGCAGCCCAGTGGCTGACACTGGTTGTTGGCTTGGGCTTTTCTTGAATGTGAAAAGCCTTCTGGACTAACTGGGGTTAGCAGGCAGGCACGGTGCTCCCTGGTTCTCTGTCCTATGAGCTCCAACTGGCCAAAACGGAGGTGCTGGTGACACCCTGATGCACTGCAGGACCCTGCAGACGAGGTGCTCTTAAGGCCCTGCGACATGCCAAACGCTTTACCTAACTCAAACACTGGAGAGAAGAATTCCATAACTCAGAAATTTGCTTTGGCACAAGGAGAGGACGCTGTGGCACCGCTCGTGTGTACTCAGCAATTTTAGAATCCAAGGATTTCTCAGCGTTGCATACTTGGAGATCTAATAAGGGCGCTCTGCGCAGTTTCTGGCTGGTTAGAAAGCGGACAAATAAGAAAAATGAAGACTTTTGTTTTTACTAGGCTGTCAACTCACATTTAACAGTTCCTTTTGAAAGGGTGCTGTGCTCCATCCTGGCTATTACGTGAAAAATGACACAAGGTGCTGGGACTGAAGTTGTAAGGCAGCCCCCGATGACCTTTTATACACAAACATTTGTATTCTTCAAAAGGTGAACGTGGAAAGATAGGAATGAAGAAAATCTCCCTTTAGACACCTAAACTGGATTTCCAGCAGCTAGAGCCTGCACAGCACTTTTAGAGCCCCTGATTAGCAGCCCCAAAACATTCATCTACTAAAATCTTCCTTCCATTACCTCAGCTTTAGGGGAACTGCAATTCCAAGTGCTGTTCCTTGCACACACTGGTGCCTAAGGCTGGCTTTAAGCAGCACAGTGGCTGGGCCATAAGAACAGCCCTATTTACACCCAGATTCAATCCAAAAGTGAGAAGAAATAGTGCTCCACTTACCTGCTGAATGGTGCCTTCCATGCAGCTCTGACAGGAGAAATATACAGCTTTACAGCAAATAGAAAAATGAAAATATGACATTCTTTGCTGTCCAAAGAAGAGAAGGATGGGCTTAAGGGAGGAATTTCCAACATAGAGAGCTGTTGTACAAGAGCAACTATGAAGACTATTTCCTCACACTCATCTTCACCCTAAAGTAATAAGATATTTAAGTAAAACCAGACAGCAACCAAAGTTTTTATGGTCTCCTCTCCATGTACGACTGGAGCAGAGGCCACTGGTGGGATAGAGAGGGATGATGCACAATGAGGCACATGTTAAGTCATATGGTGCAGCTTCTGAAACACCCATACCTTGCTTCTCTCTCTGCTAATCCCTGACTCTCTGGCTTCAAAAGCATCATAAAACAGTGCATACCACCAACAAGAAAAGACTTAATGGACATCTCACCTATGGGAAAGTGAAGACAACACCCAAAGCAAAAACGGTCATTTCATTAGATGGAGCTCAGCTCAGCTCCATCTCACTGCAGGCACTGGGAAATCACGCTCCCAGAGAGCCATGAGTCTGGCTTCCAGGTCTGGTACATCACACCTGTGAGCATCACGTTTATATTCGTAAGTCAGAAACAGAGATAAAAACATCCAAGTGATGTCTTTTCTTGCAGAAAGGACCGCAGCTACACTTACAGACACCTCACACAAAAATAGCTCAGGTACCTCCATGTTATGGTGCCGTATAAGCCTGAATCTCAAAGCATGCTTCTGAGGGACTGAAACAGAAGCTGAAGCTGCAGAAAAGCATCTGAAAATATCCTTCTGTGATGTCAGAATACTTCGGCAATCTGGTCATACAGTTACTAACATAGTATTAAGAACATTGGGCAGCCTGGTCTGCTGGTTGGTAACCCTGCACACAGCAGGGGGTTGGAACTGGATGAGCATTGTGCTCCTTTGCAACCCAGGCCATTCTGTGATTCTATGATTGTTGCAACACATGATTTGAACCCTGGGTAAGACTGGATAAGAGCTAGCATTGCTGTCTTGCTCTCCTCTGGCCTATTTCTATATGTTCAGAAATGCGGTGAGGGATACAAGGAAGAATAATAAGCATAAATATGATAACTGCACTTAAGTCATAGAAAGAGAAACAGTAAGAACAAGTCCAAAACGTTGAGTGAGAACCCACATCCTTGGTGCCAGCAGCCTGATCTTCAGATGTAATCAGGCCTGACTGCTGAGAGCCTCGCAGAGCCCGAGTCCACTGCAGAGATATCTGGCACTCTTACTTCATGGCAAGGAGGATTTATCACTTGGCTTTGTAATACTGCACCTTTGGATCACTGGGTATTTTGAAACCCTTCATAATGAGCTTATTTGGGAGCGGGGAAATTCTCGTAATGCTGGTTGGCAAAGGTTTGAACTGAAACTCTTTCAAGGTATCCAACTTTTAAAAGATTTACTATGAACATAATAGCAAATATGGTTGGTATCAGGAGCCAATGACATTTTTTCAGTCTAGGGAGAGTAAGTAGTCTGTTGTTTCTTACATCTGGAACAGTAGTAATCTATTCCTTAAGCCTGAGCAATCAAATTACTCTAATTTTCTGTTGTCTTGGCTTGAATAAATATTTTCAAGACAAGTTATGTTAAAAATATGCACGCTGACTGCACAGTTAAATGTGCATAACATCTGTGCTGCAGTTCAGTGTGGCGAGCTGCAAAGGTACCCCAACAGAAAGGCATTTAAAAAAATCACTCCGTTTCCACTTGAATTAATAAGCTACTAAATAATAACGACTGCAGAACAAAACGAAGGGGGAAACATACTTAAAAAAAAAAAAGAAATGGAAGGAAGGTGGGGAAAACCTAGAAAGAGGGGAGGAGGGACTGGAATTGCTGTCACAGCTTGAATGGGCATAAATCTCAGGGGACAGCTACAAGAAATAGCCTTTTGTTCCATCACGGGATGCAGAACTGCCCCATCCAGAGGCAGCAGCAGAAAGGAAGTCAGCAAATGGCAAAGGGTTTTCTGCTCCCTCCAGTCCTTGCAAGTCTCAGCACGGGAGAAAGGCATCTGGATTGCAGTTATTCACTGGTTTGTTAGGAAAAAAGTAAAAAATGGATTCGTTTCACTATTAAGTATGGAAACCTCCTCAACTGCAGGAATATTCAGTGAAATAAACAGAGGCATTTCCTACAACTAATTCTGGTAAAAAGCTCTCCAAAAAGTCCCCACTTTTTGATGCAAATTCAGTAACAGGAGATGAAGGAAAACCAGTTTGTAGTTTTGGAAATCTGTATTAACAAAATGCAACACCTTCTGCAAGAACTGCTGCCTGAGGAGAAGCCTGCATGCCTACAAGTATAGGGCAAAACCGTACAATTTGGGATCAAAGTCCCATGTGCTTCTCATTTCTATCCTATGCACCAGTGACCAGGGCTGACAAGCGTTTCTGAAACTGCAACAGCATTCCCAGTTTTAAACAGGTCATCTGAAGGAAAAGTGATTTTTCACTTGCAAGGCACCATTTACATTCCAGCTCAACTGCAGGAAGCAAACAAAGGTGGTTTGTGGTTCTCTTTTTCACCGAGGCATTTTTCCTTTGTCATTTTTAATTCAGATATTGCAATATTAGATTAACTCTGGTGAGAAGTTCTTTTTCAAATGATGGTCTTTGGTCATTTCTCATTATAAGGAATAAACATTTGGTATTGCTTTCCCTTATCCGGCAGTGTTTGGTGTAAACAAAAGCTCTGTCTGCAAATGAAGACCTGAACGTTTTTAGACATTTCTTCCAGCTGTTCAGCTGCTCACTTAACAAAAGTTGCTGCTCTTCCTCCCTGTCAAAATCTTAAATCAGACTCCAAACTCCAGCACTCTGAATGCCAATGCCCTCTTCTGCTGGCTGATTCAGAACTGTGCATTCCCACCAGAATTTCGAGCTCCTTCCTACAAACACCAGCGCAGCGCTTTTGCTTTCAAGGAAATGAATGATCACCGCCTTTAAGCAAAATATTAGGCCAACCCCAAATCATGCTGCAGCTGGGATGCTTCTCAGTCGTGTCTTTGCTTCTGTACAGCGTGCAGATCCCCGGTGGGTGAAGCAGGGCTCAGCTCTGCAGCAGGGCAGAGGCAGGGCTGGGGATTCTGCAAGCCAAGAGCTGCACGGCTTTCCACGTCCTTTGAAGAGAGTTATGTCTGTTGAGACTGAGTGTAATTGATGTTGAAAATGCATGCGTACCAATAAATTAATATCACAGCAAACGCGAAGTACGGGATTTATGGGAATGCAATATAGTCCGTTTGGTAAACAGATCTGAAGTACAGATGATTTGGGAGGATAAGAAATACAGAAGCTTGGTTCGCTTCCAACTGAGGAGATTAATGTCAATATTTAAGAAAGCACCAATTCGCTCACATAGAAAAGAACAGGGGAAAAAAATCAGCCATCTGAAACGGAATATTGAGTTGCTTCAGTGTTAGAGGATTACCCAAATATAGTGAAATTTCACTCTGTTGCTCCTTCTGTGTTTGCATGCTCGATATCATGGCACTGCCCTTCCAGCACTGTGCTCATGTGGGGTTGAGGTGACAAAGAAGCCAGGTCTTCTTCTTCCAACACCGCGCAGGTGAGCAGCACTGTGCTCATCTCCTGGATGCTGTGCTTCATAACTCACCTCGACAGCTACAAGCTGGGGTTTGATAAGCATGTAAAATGTTTCGTGCTCCAGCCCTGCGGAGAGGGAGTTCTGGAGGTGTGATGTTCTCCTCCAGGAGAAGAGCAGCCCTGCCCAATGTTCTGCACTGCCTGCCCGCTCAGCTCCACGTCACATTATCCTGTGGAAGGAGCAACTCGGAATGGTTTAACCGTATCCATCCCTGCAATTCGTTAGAAATAGTCTGACGGGTCAAAGGTGTAAGGCGGGTTCTTTGAAAGAGTGCTGAACCTTTAGAGGAGCCTGAAGAGGAATGTTAATTACTCGGAGTCACGCATGTCACGCACTTTGCATCCCAGTGCTGGTATAAATTTAACAAAACGGCCTCAAATCCATTCTTCTTGAACGTGTATCAGTGCTTGGCTCAGCAAAGCCCTTCAGCACGCTTCAATTTAATAAGACTTCAGCATCTTCTGTATGAGCAGCTTTGCCCTCACGTGCAGCTGCTCTGTTCCTCCATCCACAGCCTGCTAAGTCCAACGCTTACCCACATCCTTCCCTTCTGGTATCAGTTACAGCCACAGCTCTCTGTCCCTTCAGGTGACTGCAGACACACCACCAGCCCCAGCCTCACCTCCTAAAGCTCTTATTCTTACACACAAAGCAGCAGGAATAATGGGCAGTACGTTTTACAGGTTTTCTCAAGTAAAGTTTCCAAAGAACTTGTCTACACCAAGAAAACGACCTGGATGAATAGTAAAAGCCACTAGGAATGCCACAAATTAAATGGCAGCTGAAGAGAAAGGTGCACTGATAGCACAGCCCCATTCATTTTGCTGCTGCTGTAATTCTCCGCTACTTTGCCCTTTCACATCCCTCCACCTGCATGTTCACAATCACGGGCTCATCAGTTTACCAACACTTTTGCACCAGTTATATTTCACCAGCTGTATTTCTGCCGTGCCAGCAAACAGAGACAGTGAGCCACTCCGAACTGCACCACTCTCACATTTTATAATTAGAAATATTTTAATCTCTCCCAGAGAAAGCAAGATAACTTATCTGTCTTAAAAATAAACAAACCCAAACGGAAAGAATTCATTCACAATGAAATCATTCTCTCCAGAAAACCCACAAGCAAGATTGACGATTTATGGAAGAGATAAGAGGATTAGAAATATAATTTTAAAATTGTCTTAAGGGTAAAAGTTTACACCCCATCAGCAAAATGATACCCATATCAGTAACCAGACCCAGCTTAGCTCAGTACCAATTTCAAGGAAAACACAGCAAAATAAGACTGTAAAGATAAAAAAGCAGCATCTTTCAAAACTGCAACATAGGGCTTAAGAGAGCAGACAGTGGAGAGAAATATTTCAAGAAGTCCGGAAGGTTTTAAAGTGCAGTTTAAATATTGTACTCATCGTTTTGTGTAGAATTTTTAACAGCTTTCCACACTTGGGTTATATTTTAACGTGGTATTAAAAGAAAGTATCGCAGGGTGAAAAGATGAAGGCAATCTGAAAACATGTGTGAATGAAAGAAACGTGGGGTCAGAGCAGGAGCACACATGACTTGCAAACTCATGGGATGTGTGAGCCAGCTTTAATGAAGAGCCAGCTTCAGCTTTCATCAAACATGTGAAGCATGCCCAGGCCGTACCCAGCAGTGAGGACATTTGGTTAAGTGCTCTTTTCTCCTCCGTATCTCTCATCGCAACTATTTCAAGCAATAACTATTTGGATGGAAACTCAAATCTCAGAAAAAGTCCAAGTCCTCTGTTCTGCTGTGCTCCAGCCTTGCTGCCAACATGAACCGCCATCCTCCAGCAGATAGAAGGGAGCCTAACCCTGAAAGATTCGCAGCTCCTGTGCCAGCCCCACAGCATTCGAGATGCTTGGTTTGGCGTCTCACGAGCAGCTGAACTTTGTGCGCTTGCCTGAACTGAATCTCTGAATGTTTTGAAGCTTGTCCTGCCAGAGCACTGCTGGACACCAGCATCACAACACAGCCAGGCCAGCAGCTGTCTGGGAAATAGCTGATGGACATCCCCAGCACAACGTGAGGCTGGGGGTGCATTAACAACACCGTGCACCAACACGGTGGTTTCACAGAAGAGAGGAAGCACGGTGTCTCCCAGCACAACATCTGGCCTTACCACATGCCTGCCGCTCAGGACAAACGGGGACGACTGCTCCTGGCACTTGACTGAAGCAAACCTGGAAACCCTGCTTCACAGAACTGAATGCTGGATCCAGTCCGACACAAGGCAGCATCAGCTGAAGGCTTTTGAGCCGTCAACTGTGGACTGCAAGGAATGACTCACATCAAACACATTAATGCATCAATAAAAAGGAGTTGCAATTGCTCACCTAGTTTGATTATCCCTTCCTTCCTCCCTCAAGTTCACTAAAAACACAGGAGGCTGACTGGAAAAACATACAGGAAATCTTTTCATTTTCCCTGCTGCCAAAAAAAGCAGTAACAGGAATAATAATAATTATTATTATTGTTATTATCAGTATGCAAAGACAGAGACATCCAGTGCTGTTCACGTGGACTGACTTTGCAAGAGATGTCACGTTTTTCTTAGTACCATAGAATCACCAAGTTCCCCAAGCCCACCCCCCATGCTCACCACTCACATCCCTCAGTGCCACATAAGAAATTGATCCCAGTATCCAATGAGACACTTGTGCCACTACTGAGTGATACATCTCTCAGTGGCACCAGTTAAACGTCTGCCAATTAGCAAGTAAGATAATCAGGGCAGACAACCCAAGCAGTTGGCCTCTGCTGCTTGCCCTGCTGCCACCCGTGCCCTCCTCTCTTTTCTGATCTGTTCTGGAAAGTTTTTAGTGCACCTTGGTGGATATCGTGACTGCAGCAAAGCTGGTAGATGAATTACATTTTATTAAACGTCATGCTAAAGTGCTCAGGCACTGATGCACAGCCTATTAGTAGCTTTAAGATTTCAGTGTTTTGGTGGGAATGCTTCAAAACTGAAGTATGTTTTCTTTGGCCGAAGCACCACCATTAGATGCAGTCGCTTCTGACATTTTAAGAATTGTTTTATGACTGTTTCCATGGAGGCCAAAAAGGAAATTACTGTTCCAGGAATGCTTAGATAGCATCCACGGCAACACAAAAGCCTAAGTTATATTGGCTGCATTCTGGCCGGCCTGATGGTGTGATGATTAACAAGTTGTGCCGCAACAAGGGCCCAGAGCTGGGAATGCAGCAGGGAATACTGCTTCCTCTGCCAGACAGCGGGTTCCAGGGACTGGTCCAGCATCTTCCAGGCCATACATTTTCCTGCACGCCCAATTATCAAATTCTCTTCCTAAACATTTCATCAGTCACGTTTATTTGTATTGTCTCCCTACCAACCGTAAGACATTAAAGGCATCAAACAAGAACATTTTCCCCTTACTTTCAAAAAAAAAAAGAAAAAAGAAAGCAAGACTGCTTAAGAAGAATGGCGACTGTAAATTTATTAGCTTCACTTGCTACGAGGAAGCTGTTAAAGGCATCAGGAAGTGGCCAGATAACCAAGGCCGTAAAATACTTTAGAAATTAATGAATGAAAGATGGGCTGAAGCCACAAAGTGAGGGTCTGGTTCTGGTTTCTGAGCTTGTAGGGTTCACAGATGCTCACAGGCAGAGTTTGATTCCAGAAGGTAAAGCAGCAGTACTCAAGTTTAGAGCAGAATCCAAAGCTCAGAGTTATCCCAAATCCTTGGGTTATGTTCTGACACATCGCTGAAATGAATCAGAAATCTTGTGAGCTGGGAACTGATGCAGCTGGCTTTGGTCAGGCATTTCCTGAGACAGTGCCTGAGAAAATATCGCCACTACTGCTACCATCAGTTACTGCATGCTTGAAAGACCACGCTGATAAAGAGCAAGATTCGCCCCTGCTACTCATCATCTGAAGAGATGAAGCAATTGCTCTGAGAGAAGATGAATATTTGCTTTCCTCAAAAACAACTCCAATTTGGAACCTCACCCAAGTTCTGCCGAAATCTGAGAAATCTGTGCTGATTCAAACAGAAACCTTGCAATGCTGAAGCTGAGATTCCTTCTTCAGATGCTGGTGCCTCGATTCACAGCGTTTGTTTGGGTAGGGAGAAATAAAGTGTCACTGCCACTATCTTGTCACGTAAAAAGAGAAATACCCTGAAGAAAAGGATGCTGGCTATACGAAAAGAGCTGAGGCACACACGTAGCCTTACAAGGTTCGTTCAATAGATCAAGCCTTACACACATTATGACATACTGAACATGCATTCTCTCCTCAAAAATGAAGATTAAGTTTAAAATATATACTTCTTTGTTTTTCTTTCCTTTCTACACCATCCCTTTTTGCATTAGCACACTGAGGCCAGTAACAGCTGCTAAGCCTCACTCTTCATTTTTCCTTGTACAGTTCCTTCATCTCTAAGTTATACTCGCTAACTGCTCAAGCATCCACACTGGAGTCTCCTAGTTCCTGTCCAGCATTAACCACGTATCAATAATTAGGGTCATGGACCACCCACAAGACAAAGTGGCAAATAAGGTAGTTGCTTACATGGAAAAAAATAATGTCAGAAAGCTATTTGATGTATTTTTAGCCTCTTTCAATAGGCTTCAGCAGCTGCAGACAAGGTGGGAAGCCAGGGCCAAGATCCAAAAGCCATTGAAGGCACAGAGATTTTCCATAGAGTTTGACTGGCTTTGAACTGGGATTGCCCCTGACAGGCAGAGCAGAGCACCGTGGCCTGGAGCTTGCTCTGCTCACCTGCTTCCTGGGCTTACATCCACGGTTTCCCTCACCCATCACACGTGATCTCTAAAGAATGACGTGCTACAAGCATCCTAGGATATTCATGACTTGTGGAAAAGTATCTGCATACAAAAGGAAAGATCTAAGCCTTGAGAAATGCACACAGCAGAGGGATGAGAACTATTTTCACCCTTTTTAGTGCTTAGAGTTATGACTTTATTTGCAGCAGCCATTTTAACTCGCATTCCAACGCAGAGGGAAAATGATAGGTTTAGGTGAAAGGCAGGGCTTAGGAAGTCCTATCTGCACCTCCCCTGAATGAAAGGCAATGGCAGCGTTCAGTCTGACCTGCTGTCCTTTTTAAGGATAATTATGAAGATGAAGGACTTTTCACTGCGAATACACTGACGTTTGGGATACCAATCTGGGAAAGAATCATAAAGACAGGAATAATTCAGAGCTATGATTAAATCAAGAATCGTTGTTTAGATTAAGCTTGTGTCTGCTCTGTTCTAGTGGCACACTGCCCTGCCTGCTCTGCCCACCTCCCATGTACAGCCCTGCAGGGCACACGGATCATAGAGCAGACTTTCTATAATTATTCAGATGTTTGTTTAACAGCAAAATAGATGCAAGGCGTTCTGCAAAGCTCCACCAATACAATATCTGGTTGTTTTGCTGACTGCATCCCAGGTCTGCAGTAACAGCACAGCTCAAGGAGTCCCACCCAACCCAGGCAGCGTGCAAAGCTGGCTGGAGGAGTGCTATCACTGCTTTTCAGCAGTCACAAACTGTTACGTTAGCAAGGCCATTTGTTCCCACCTTAAGAGATTTCCAGGCTGTCTACAGCAGTGGCACAGTAATTCACATTTGGAATGAAATTTCTCCTTAACTGAGGAGGACGCCTCTTTTTTCTGCCTGAGAACATCTCCTGAATCAAGCAGCCTGATGTGCCAGCACAAGCTGTCACCAGAGCCCACCACATTAGTGAACGCAGAACCAGGCAGGAGCGTTGTTAGCACCCCAGCAATTAGCTGTTTGGCAGCACATGCTCTAAATTGCTGAAGAACTGCCCATTCTCCTGACAACCTTCTTCCTGGATATTTCTCCTTAAATCCTATGAGTGGAGGATTACCAGGATTTATGGAGCAACTTAATGCTTCCCAGAAAGAGAAAGCACATGGTACAGGAAGAGAAACAACGGGAATAGAGCGGCTCTATCATATTTTAAGTTAAACTCACAAATAAATTTATCTTGACACTGACTGATAAATATCTAGATGATTTGAACTTGTTTCCTGGATTGTAGAAACCATCCTGCAGCTGCTTCCTCTCCTCGGCCTGTTCCAGCTTACTGGGATTTCGGGGGCAATACAGAAGGATTCAGGTCAGCAAGAACAACACAGCAGAGCGGCTGGCAACACCTCGTCCATTCTGGATCAATACTGCTTTCCTACTAAGGAGCCCATAGGAAAGATTACTTGTCTCACAGGTTGGTCACAGCAGCTACCCATCATTTGACCCAGATCATTTCATAGAATCATCACAGAATGGCCTGGGTTGCAAAGGAGCACAGTGCTCATCCACTTCCAACCCCCTGCTGTGTGCAGGTCACCAACCAGCAGCCCAGGCTGCCCAGAGCCACATCCAGCCTGGCCTTGAATGCCTGCAGGGATGGGGCATCCACAGCCTCCTTGGGCAACCTGTTCCAGTGCCTCACCACCCTCTGGCTGAAAAACTTCCTCCTCATATCCAACCTAAGCCTCCCCTGTCTCAGTTTGAAACCATTCCCCCTTGTCCTATCACTATCCACCCTCGTAAACAGCCGTTCCCTCTCCTGTTTATATGCTCCTTTCAAGTATTGGAAGGCCACAAAGCAATTTTACAGAATTTTAACAAGAAAGGCGTAGCCTTCAAATATGTCATTGAGTTGAGCAAAACAGAAAACTTAAAACATTGCATAGTGAGACTTAGGAACCTCTGTCCTCCCTCACCATCCCCCTGCCCACCCTGAACGTCCCCAGATGCTGCAGTCTACCTCCACCACCACCCTCCTGCCTCCCAAACCTTATCAAAATGAGGCCCAGGTTAAGCAGCTTGAATTTTTTCATGCATTTTCTGCCTGCAAGAATTAGAAAGCTGTGTGACCCAGAGAGAGGAAGGCTCAAGGAAACAGTAGGGTCAGTGTGACCGGCCGCGGGCTCAGCCCCACTGATAACAAGGCTTTTTTGTAAGCATCTCAGCAAAGGAGAGCTTTAAGAATGGCATAAGAAGCAGTATAATGAAACAGCCTTGCAGATACCACCAGGAAGCTCCTTCCATGCATGAGGGGAGAGGTAGGAGAAAACACAAAGTCATTTGTTTGGAAATTTAATGAGTAGATGATGAAGGCTGAGCTGGCAAAAGGCAGGCAGCCCCCTTCAGAGCCCGAGGAAATCTGATAGAGACCAGAGCAGGCTGCAAAACTGAAGAGAAGCAGCTTGCATCTGATACGGCCTAGGAAGAAGAGGCAGCCGAAGCACACAGAGCAAATGAAGCTGGGAAAAGGATGGAGAATTTATTTCTCCTGCACTGCAGCAGCTATATCTTCCTTAACCCCTCGTGGGCTGGCTCTTAGTTGGGTGTACATCCTCATACGTAATATGATTAAATTCCTGTGAATTAGTATAGATGGGTGGATAGAGAAGTCCTACATACCCTGATGGAGGAGCAGCAGAAGTATGAGGTCAGCCCTGACAACCACACAGAACCTACATGGCAAAGAGCTCTTTTCAAACACTTGGCATGTGAAAGTTCATGCCATAAAGCACAAACCCCCAGGAAACCATGTTTCCCTTGTTCATGTGCTCCTACTCGGTTCTATTTCACATCATTCACACCACACAATTCCCTGGGGCTGGAAATGTGGCCAAGCATCACTCTGCCCAAGTCCACTCGTGGCTGCAGGCGGGTTGGTTCTGCACCCAAAGCACAGCCAGGGCTCTGGCTGCTTCCAGGGCACGAGGCAGGGATGGCAGTTTGCTTCTCACAGAGGTTTCCTCTGCTTCCAAACCACTGTCAGACTGTCTGCCTGCTTATTGTGGGGGAGCCCCACAAACATGCACCAATTCTACCGTTTATCTACATATGGACTTTTTACACACAATAGGTGCTCACCCCCTGTCGAACTGCAAAGCACAAGGGAAAACATGCCTCTGGCCCTCATCTTAGCACGCAGATGATAAAGCTGTGTATATAACAAACAAATGCATTGATCAAAGCAAGGAGAAAACTGGATGCAGATTTAGCAATGAAAGGTTGTTTCATCTCTCTGCAGCAGACAAGCTGTTCTACAAAACCGGGGGAAATGGAGCACGTGTCTTGCTTCCCTGCTGCTGCCTTTGGAGGAGCCCTGGTGTAGGTGCTGACTTTTGATTTCCCAAAGGGGCACAGAGAAAAGCTTCAGGCAGCCTTTGATCTGCAAGTCGGGAGGCTCTCTGGCCCCCACACGCACTGCATGGGTTTAGATAGTCCACAGTTTGCCTCCCCGCATCTGTCACAACTGTTTTTTGCTGGCTGAGGAGCTCATCTGCTTTTGAATGGTGATTTTCAGGGTGAAACTACTCTACTTTCAGAAGACAATGTGTGTTTTTTAACTTAAAAACAACAAATCAGCTATCACTGGCACAGGCATTGTATAAATTCTTCACTCCTCACTGCTGGAAAATAAGAGGTTAAATCCCTTTCCATTTTAACAAAAACATATTTTAACTAAATCCAACACTCTTTTATTTAACTTTAAAAGAGAAATGGGCATGCTGTGCTCTAATAAATTTTTCCTTGGCGCTTTCACTTCTCTTTGAATGTTAGAGGGGGAAAAAAGAGAGAGAGAGAGAGAGAAGAGAGATTAACCAGTTGGGCTAGGCTGCCTGCCCTTCAAATTGTCAAAAAGCCTGAAAGATATACGAGCTCGTTGTTCTGACAGTACCAGCAATGTAGGTCAGACCCTCAGGGTCTCCGATGCTTTCAGATCAGCCTATCTGTGGATACGAGACACAGGATGTCAGCATCTCATTTAACAGCTTATAAAAAGCCCCAAAATTGCGACACGGTCAGGCAGGGCCTGAAGAACACTTATTTTATTTTGTTTAATCAACAATTGCTAAGTTAGCCTGGCAACATGCATACAGTTAAATCATGCTGAGACTTAAACAGACCGTTCTGAGCGTCTCACTTTCTCTTCTATGCTGGAAAATCACATTATCACCTTTATCTCCCCCCGTCTCCTACCTATGCAGTGCTATTCCCTGCTGCAGTCTGTTACAAGCTGATTTCCCATTAGTGTTGCAGATCCAAGCAACGGGGTTCCCACCATTTTACTTTCATCATTAATCTTCTGGGCTGAATATTTCTGCACTAAGGACTTCATTCCTGACGTTTGCTCTGTATTTTCCATTTCTCAGTTTCACCCACCATTCCCTTGGACTACATTAAAACATTTCCTCTCTTTTCTTGGTTCTTTACTCTCCAACACCGCCCACTTCAAGGCAGCCAGCGCTTCCCACAAAGCTGTGTGCCGTCCTAAACTTGGAGGGGAGAACACGGCATGTGAGCTGACATTGTGGGAGCTGCTAGCAGGGCTGAATTGTAATAATTACAACTGTGCTTTTGATAATGCATTCCCACCCTCTCTGAGCCCTTGCTGTCCCTGAGGCTCAGGGGTAGGTGCTGATCTTGGTTTCTACCTTCTCCATTCAAATACAATCCTGAGGGCTTCCAAGCAATTTTGTGAGCTCTCTAAGTGGAAAAAGAGGAAGAGATGCTTCTTGCAGCTAGTTTCCACATAGTTTATATGTAGTTCATACGTGCTTCCTTTAGGCGCTTTTATGTCCTCATCACCTACCTCTAATTCAACTCCCAAATTAAGGCCTGACAACTCACCACAAGGCTGCACTTTAATGCCTCTGGGTATTCTGCTATTTGTTTTGGTATGAAAAAACAATAATTATAATAATTGAATTGCTTGGAATCTGAAATTCTGCTGCCCCAGTGGCCAAAGCTACAATAGCTCTTCCTAGAGAGCTGCCCTTGCACTAATAGAAGAGACTCCATCTCAGCATTCAGTGGAGAAGCAAACTCACAGGCGTATGCTGAACTTGTGCTGCTGCAACACAGGGATTCAGAGAGTTAACAGCAACCTGCAGGGGCAACAGGAGCCTTCATTCCTGGATTCTCAAATAATGCACTGCAGCGGACAGGAGCACAAAAAGATCATTCACCTCCACGTTTCTCAACAGGGTCTAATCAAGTGGGACTACCGTGTGGCACATGCTTGCTGAGGGAATTTCGAGGGGGGAGGCAAGAGGAGGGCTGAATCACATTTAATAACTTTGAAACGTGATAGCTGCCTATAGAGTAATGTCATGGTCAGCAACAATGGCATGTCAGGAGCTACTCACAGAATGACTGAATTCATTGTTTGAAACCACGTGAAATGTTATAAATACGTATTAATGCTCCTCGGTAACTTTGAGATTTAAGAAGTTTCTGTTCAACTCAGCAGAGTGATAATTTTGAAATATTTATCCTATAATCAAATCTGAAGGAAGTTAGAATTTTACCTGGAAATCTCTTGCTCACAATCCAATTTTAGTACCGCTCCTAAAAAGCCGAGCTGACAAATGAGATTTGAGGTTTCCAGGCTAAGCACAGTAATCTGGTGCACTCACTTCAGAGCTTTGCTTTTATGGCTGAACTTGGCGAGCCAGCTGGAGCTCTCCTCCTGCAAAACCTGCAGAGGGATGTATGAAAACAAATCTGGAGCCCACTCGAGCTAACAGCCATCTCAGCCGTCCTGCCTTTATCAAGACTCTGCATTTCTGGCTACGCCAAGTGTCAAGGAAAACAAATCTATACCGACAAACTCCCTCTAAATGCAGAGTTTAACAGCAAAAGTAAACTACAACCACTTAGTGTTATCTCAGTTGTGTCATACGGGGCATTTGAAATAATTAGAATGTAACCTGAAAGATCTTAGAAGTAAAATTGTCTAAATCTAGTTCAGCAAAGTTGAATTACTGCATGAGGTCCTTTCAGAAGTCTTTACATCGTTGTCGATTTCAGCCCTACACATGACAGCCTCTCCACACCACAGCTCCTGGCCCGTAACCATTCCCCTACAAGTACAAAAGCCCTTCCAATACGTAACTGCCTCATGGGTTGCATAATGTAGTCCGGAGTGTGCCAAGAAAATGTCTTCAGCCTTCCTGTTACAAGTATGGCAATGATCAACCCAAAGCATGATGTGAAGCTTGCTTATATTTGAAGCAATTTAACATGTTGCAACAAAGGCGTACTTAATGCTGCCCCATTAAGTGAAACTGCAATCTAACAGCAGTACAAACTTGAGGTCTATGGACCCGGTCCTGAAAACTTGATTCACATCAGTAACATTTACCTACATGAGTAATCTCCCTGAGGTAAAGATAATGGATGAAAGGGGAAAACAGAGAAGCTGGTTACAAAACTTGGCTTCCACAGCGCAGTTCGGCAGTCAGGTTCTTTCTTTAAAATGGCCCAAAGTCAGCCCTCATCTTAACAGCG